TATTGTCATAAAATCTGTTAAGTTTGGCAGAAATTAACGGTTTTAGCTAAAGTTGGATTTTATGTCCAATAATATATAACATTTGGCTATGTTCTCTTACTTATGGCTAGGATGTTAATCAGGTCAACCCGATCGGGTTTCGAGTTAATCAGGTCGGTTTAGTCGGGTTTTTCAAAGATAAATGTTGACCCTAAAACCGACCCTATTAAGGACCGGTTAGTCGGGTTTCGGGTTAATAGGGTCGGGTTATAATGTTGTGTAAAGACTTAAAATGTAAGATAGTTTAATTTATGCCATTTTAGTCAACTTTATATTTGTGAAGGCCTGTAGGGGTTGATACTTTAAACTGTATTATGGAAACAAAAACTTGTTTCACCTTGTGATATATGATGATACTTTAAAATGTATTATGGAAAGAAAAATTTGTTTCGCTTTGTGATGTATGAAGCTAGTGTACGTAGAAGTTAAATTAATTTCATATTATTCAATGAAAAATATGTTTGACAAATATATGTTCTTGTATTTATCTAATTATCCAATGCTATATAAAATAAATCATAAGTAATTTAAATATTATATTTTTGTCATTATATAAAAACTAAAAATATAAAGAGTTAACTTAGTTGATGATGTACTATAAATGTAAACATGAAATTAAGACTCATGATCAAAAAGAAAATTAAGACCCATGACAAATAGCAGTCGTAGACCACAAGTGTAAAAAAAATAAATTACTTTAGCACAATTGAAACATTACTAATAGAAATACTTTAGAAATCTCTTTACAAATACTTTAGTACAATTCAAACATTACTTTAGTACAAATCCAAGCATTACTTGTAGTCATGATCACAAAGTATTTGGTCGAACATGGTGATGATAATCTTAAAACTAGCCAATGATGAAGCATGTATTGGGTTAAACAATGTTGGAACAATAAGAAATTTGTTGTGAGCTACTTCTAAAGTGGAATGGATTGGAATCGTAGGAATTATTAAGGAGTCATGGGGTATTTGGTGCAAAGCTTTTCATGTGAATGACTTATGGATATAAAGACTCATTTTAGGACATTTGGGTTTTTATGGAGAGAGAGAGAGAGAGAGAGAGAGAGAGAGAGAGAGAGAGAGAGAGAGAGAGAGAGAGAGAGAGAGAGAGAGAGAGAGAGAGAGAGAGAGAGAGAGATTTGTACACCTATAAATACCAATGTCATATTTTTTGTATATGTGTTATTAGAGATGTAATAAAGGAATTTTTCTAGTTTGAGAGCTATTTATCTAGATGTTGATCAATATATTTTTCTAACTTTCATTATTGATAGTTAATTATATCTTTAACACTTATATTGTTTAGTTATTCATCAATTCTTTATGTAAAATCTAGGTTTCATGACCTAACAATTTATATCAAAGTCATGCCTTGAAGAACAAAGCGATTAGTTCATGGAACACTGTCAATTTGACAATTTTTATGCATAATCGATTTAAGAGTCTTAAGTCTATAATCCTTGACGAGGCTCTTAAAATTAGGGGTGGAATTGGTACGGTACTGATCATTTTTTGCCTAAAACGTGTACCGTACCAATTGTAGTTGGTATAATTTTTTTGCTACCACTACCGTACCAACTATAGTTTGTACCAACTTGTTTAGCTACCAGTTCGGTTGGTAAAAGTTGGTAATGGTATACACCAAGATGTATGAGAAATTTGTAAATAAAGATTTACATGTTCTTGAGCATTGTGAAATGTGAATGAGGTTTAGTGAATTTGAGTTTGGTAATGGTTGGGATTTAATATTCGATCCAAAAAGATTTTATTAATGTCTATCATGAGTTTATAATTTAAAAATTATACATGTTATCATTAGTTTAAAACTTTAAACTTTACTAATACGTTGAATGCTAATATAATATTAAACACCAAACATACGAAAACTTTATATATATATATATATATATATATAATATATATATATATATATATTATATATATAAAGAGAGAGAGAGAGAGAGAGAGAGAGGAGGGTTCAATTGAGAAAAAAAATGTTGAGAATAGGGGAACCATTCTCAGCCAATCATTTAATGAGATTAAAAAACGCACGGTGGCAAACTTTTAAATAATCCAATTACATTAATGAGCGGTGACAAATTTGTAAATAATTCAAAAACATAAAACCGTCAGGGCACTTGAGTAATTTCATCACACATCAAATCTTGACAGAAAACCATCATTTCCCTCTTCGATACACCATAACACGAAAACCATTTGCAGAAGAATCGATAAGAAGAAAACCATTTGTAGAAGCATCAAATACATAAACAAGAAAATGTCTTCCGATGAAAACATGAACGAGACCATTTCCTCACTCTTGACAATGAAAGGTAACCGACGTTTTTTCTCAAATTTTTAACGATTTCTAATCATTTCTAAATTATCACTTGATTACTTGAAATTTCTTGTAATCTTCGATAATTATTAGTTGATTTAGAACTAAAAATATTGTTTTCACAATGTTCATTCTTCAAAATAGGTTGTTTACTTCAATTTTTTGTGATAATCATTCATTCTCGTAACCCTCGTTCGTTATTACTTTATTTACTTGAAATTTTTGTAAAGATAATCCATTATTAGTTGATATATAAATGATTTTACATCATCTCTTCATTTTTCTCTTTATTCAAAACTATTCTGTCAAAATAAAACGTTACTTTACTTCACAGTTCGCTTATGTTTTCCTAATATTAACCACTTACCCTTACAAAAACAACACCAACAGTGAAGAATACATATAAACGAAAAACAAGAACAAATCAAAAAGGTAAATAAAATATGTTTTGTTTACTTCTGAACACAAGCAAAACTAATATTCAAATGTGAATATGTATGTTATATTCACATATGAATATAAAATAACTTGCTGTCATACATACATTATTCAAATGTGAATACAACAAAAAGGGCTTATATATGTTTTATTCACATATGAATATAACAAAACATATTCATATGTGAATAAAAATATGAATATATATGTTTTATTCAAATATGAATATGTATGTTATATTTACATATGAATACAACATAACTTGTTGTCATACATACATTAATTCAAATGTGAATACAACAAAAATGACTTACATATGTTCTATTCACATATGAATATAACAAAACATATTCATATGTGAATAAAAAAAATATGAATATGTATGTTATATTCACATATGAATAGAACATAACTTGTTGTCATACATACATTATTTAAATGTGAATACAACAAAAAGGACTTATATATGTTCTATTCACATATGAATATAACAAAACATATTCATATGTGAATAAAAAAATATGAATATATATGTTTTATTCAAATATTCATTCGTGAATATGTATGTTATATTCACATATGAATACAACATAACTTGCTGTCATACATACATTATTCAAATGTGAATACAACAAAAATGACTTACATATGTTCTATTCACATATGAATATAACAAAACATATTCATATGTGAATAAAAAAAATATGAATATATATGTTTTATTCACATATGAATAGAACATAACTTGCTGTCATACATACATTATTCAAATGTGAATACAACAAAAAGGACTTATATATGTTCTATACATATGAATATAACAAAACATATTCATATGTGAATAAAAAAATATGAATATATATGTTTTATTCAAATATTCATTCGTGAATATGTATGTTATATTCACATATGAATACAACATAACTTGCTGTCATGCATACATTATTCAAATGTGAATACAACAAAAATGACTTATATATGTTCTATTCACATGTGAATATAACATACATATTCATATATGAATAAAAAATATTAATACATAAGTTTTATTCAAATATTCATTTGTGAATATCAAACTCATTTATCTTCTACTTACTATTGAATGAAGGTAAAAACACTAACATTTCCGATAAAGATTCACCAACAATAAGAGAAACAATACCAATGCAGAAAAATCAAAAAGGTATAAAATACATATCATATCTTTTAAATGAATATTCTATATTCATTTATGAATATAATATATTTTCTTTGTAAAATGTATTTCAAAATTATTTATCTTCTACTGACTAATTCATGAAGGTAAGAAGATTTGTATTTATGATAAAGACCCCACAACTATGATAGAAACAGATTTGAAGAGCAAAAATGCGAAAGGTACAAAATTCCTATCATATCTAATATATTCATATATGAATAAAATTGTATATCTTAGTTATATTTTTGTAATAAATAAATATTAATAAATCAGTGAGCATATATCATATTCATATATCAATAACTTATTCAAATATTATATGTTTTCATTTCCCAGATAAAAAAGAAACAAAAACACCAAAGAAAATAAAGCATCAAAGCAGAAAAAGTCCATCAAAAAGGAAAACTCCTGAAAAACGACAACTACAAGATTTAGACTCTGATTTTGAAAGTAGTCGTCCATCAAAGAAGGCAAAAAAAAGGAGTCACCAATCAAAAAAGACAAAAACAAACCAGTGGTAAAGGAATTTTACTCAATGAAAAACAGATGTTCACCAGAGTCATTACTATCTATAATCATTGGGATGAGCAAAGAGCAAAAAGAATGTGTAAGATCTATGGGTTTTGGAGCTTTGTTAAAAATGAAAATCACAGATATACCACTGAAGCTGGGATTTTATGTTCCTCAAAAATTTGATTCTGAGAGAATGGTGATAGATATTGAAGGAAAGGAACTGAAAGTAACAACAGAGTCTGTTCATGACATGTGGGGCATACCAATTGGTGGAACCAAACTTACACAACTGGATCAATGGCCTAAGGATGATACAAGTTATGATGAATGGAAGCAATAATTTAAAAAAGATTAAATCATCCGATTGAGTGCAATCAAAAATGTTATTGTTTCTACCACACAAGCTGATTTCAATTTCAAATTGAACTTCTTAGTTCTTTTTGTCAACACCTTTTGCGAGTCAACGTCAATGGGAAGATGCAACCTGTTTCCTTTGAGTTATATTTCAAGAAAAACAGATATCAACAACATAGACTGGTGCAGCTATGTTTTGGATTGTCTTGTCAGAACAAAGAACTCATACATACCATACTCAGATAACAGCTTCTTTGTTGGACCTTCAGCTTTCTTGGTGGTAAGTTATTATAATGTTCATACTCAATTTTTAATAATATTGATTATTCATAAACTAATAGCACATATTCATATATGAATAAGAAAAGTTTACTTGTTCACACGTAATGTTTTACATTACTTATTCATATATGAATAAGTAAAAAATAATATTACTTGTTCATATATGAATATCAATTAGTTATCATTTATGTGCAGTTGTTCTATGCTGATAACATCTACTCAGAAACTTTAACGGTAACACGTAAACGTCCAACAATTTGTTATTGGAGTTCAGAGAAGATTAGATATCGAGAGACATTTGAACAAGAAAAAGGTAAATTTGGACTTGGAGAATTAAATGAAGAATTTGTTAATGAACAAGATGAAGGAGATACATATCTCGAAGACAGTGATTCTGATAAAGATGAAGATCATTATGTTGAGGTAATTAGTTTGAACATGTTAATAATATATGATTATATTAAATTCTAATCATACTTCTTTTTTATTACATAGGCATATGAATCAAAAATATCTAAAATGCTTAATAGTTTCGAGAGGATGAAGGAAAAACTGAATTCAAAGCTCAATGATGCGATAACAAAGTTCCCTGAAAAGGAAAATTTTAGGATTTTCAAAGAAAAGATGAAAAATATAATTGTTGAAGAAAAAACTGAAAGCACAACACTTTTTGAATTTCCAAGTAATCAAACTGGATTTGAAGGAATCAATTTGACACCAATAATCGGTCAAAAAACAAATGATCAAAAAGAAAATGAAGATAAAGAGGGAAATGGTGAAGAAGAGAATGATAATGATGGAAGTCAACCAGAAGAAGATTATTTGCTCGATTCAAATGAAGCAGAGAATGAAGGAATAAAGAATGATGGAAATAATAATAAAAAAGAAGGTGAAACTGAAGTAAAAGGGAAAGATGGAAAGAACAATGTAAATGACAATGATGAAGAGAAAAAAGGTGATGATAATGAAGAAACAAATAATCATGAAGAGACTATTCAACAAACTGAAAATAAAAATTTGTTGGATAAAGTTGTTGACAACATTGTGGATAATGTCCTTGGAATTGGAATTTCAAGTTTAAATAGTCAAGAAGATGAAATCTGGAATGACCCTGAAATGAAAACTATTTTGGATAATATTGATATAGGTAAATTTTGTCTTACTTTTATTTTTAAAAAATATATAAAAATATTAATACACAATAACAATTTTGTTTATTAAATTTTGACCAGGGTCACCAATAAGTACAAGTAAAACTAATACTCTTGCAGAAAAGGAAATATCAGAAGGTGTATATGAACAAGGAAAAAAATTTGAAAAAACAAAGGGAGATGATACAGGTAAATGAATGATTTAAATTATATTACAATATTTATATTGATTTTTAATAACATTGTTTATTCATGAGTGAATAATATATAAATGAGTAAATAATAAAAAATATTCATATATGATGTATATGTTTCAGGCAAGGAAAACTCTGAAGATAGAAATAAAGGAGAAGTAGAAGCTAAGAACACGAAAGATGGAGGTGAAGATAAACATACAGAAATTGAGAAAGGAAATGCAGAAGATAAAGGTAAATAGCTGAATCACTAATAAATGAATATAATAAGTTTTATTATTCACAAATAAATAACACAATATACAAAAAAATAAAAAATATAATATTACTTATTCATAAATAATGATATCCATTACTTATTCATAAATGAATACATTACTTATTCACAAATGAATTATTTAATCAAAGTTCTTTATCTTTCAGGAAAGAAAAAGTCAGAAAATGAAAACAAAAAAGGAGAAAAAGCTGACAAGACAAAAGGAAATGAAGGAGGAAACAATTTGGATAAACATTTCAAAATATAAAAAAAATATTATAATTAACTTACAACTATTTATATGATAAATCTCCTGGCATACAGATACTCATCCAAGCTTTAGCCTAGGTCTCAGTCAAGATTCAAATCAAACTTCAAGTAAAAAATCTAGTGAATCTTCACCAAAAAAACCACTTACAAAGTAACAAATCAAAGACGACCATCAGAAGGTTGTTATCAGATTAGCAAAGAAAAATGTTCTTAATCCAAATCCAATCTCTGTAGCAATTCCTACTGAAGTAGGACCATCAAAGCATGATCTGGATGAACCAAGAGAGAAGAAGCTTGCTGATGCTTTCAAATCACCTTTCAAATGCAGAATAACAGACACAAAACCCAAACTGACACATCAAGAGAGTATTGTCTGTGAGTGGTTGTTCAACTTGCAAGGGAATACATCGTAAGTAACTTTATTTTATAGACATTCATATATGATTGTTATATAGATAATAATGTATGACATTTTGATTATATATTTGCAGAGATGTGGTTGTCCAGACAAAATATAGTCAGATACAGAAAGAGCAATTATGGAAAGTCTATATGCAAGCACAGAGATTTTTGGAGAAGTTTTAGACACTTGGCCTGATTTACTTAACCACCAAGAACTGGAAAGGGATTTTAGAAATTCACCATACAGACTCTTCTTGAAAGTTGGAGTTTTTGTAAGTTTATGTTCTAACATTAATTCCTTCCTTATTGATAAATGAATACACCAATATGATGTATTCATTTATGAATATTATATTTGTTTACAACTGAAATTCACATATGATTATACAAATATGATGTATTCTTTAAGATAATTATATATATTCAACTGAAATTCACATATGATTATCTGTAACCTTAATTCCTTCCTTACTGATAAATAAATACACCAATATGATGTAATTATTTAATGATATATATTTTTTTTAAACTGAAATTCACATATGATTATACAAATATAATGTATTCTTAAGATAATTATATATATTCAACTGAATTCAACATATATTATCTGTAACCTTAACTCTTTCCTTATGAGAAATGAATATACCAATATGAGTATTCATTTATGAATATATTATTTTTTTACAACTAAATTCACATATGATATACAAATATGATGGATTTTTAAGATAATTATATATATTAAACTGAAATTCCATATAATTATCTGTAACCTTAATTCCTTCCTTATTGATAAATGAATACAACCAATATGATGGTATTCATTTAAGGAATAGTATATTTTTTACATTGAATTCACATATGATTATACAAATTGATGTATTCTTTAAATAATTATATTATTCACTGAAACTCACATATGATTATATTGGTTACAGACTGATTATCTAACTTCAACATTGTCTGATGAAAGAAAGTATGAAAAATTCAAGGAGAACTTTCATGACAGTACCAATGGGTACAAAAAATCTTGAACATAAAAGATATTGACATGGTATGTTAATTAAAGTTGTTTTTTATATATATTTTATCAACAAAATACTTACCATTATATACATAAAAACAGGTATTCTTTCCAGTTGTTAGAAGTGCTCATATTTTTGTGATTGTCTTCAACTTAAAGAAACCATCAATTGAAATTCTAGACAACAGTGCAGTTGAGGGGGATTTTGAAGGGAAATACGGAGTACTATTGAAACCTTTGGTATGTACCCAATTCACAACAACATAAAAGAACCAATTTATTACATATCTAACTTTTATTTTATTTAATGATCAGAAAAATTTGTTTGTGAGATACTTTAAAGAAATAAACCATCCAAGAGCAAATGCAATCTCAAAAGAAAGTATCAAACCCCAACGACTTAAAATGCCATGGAAAACAGTTAAAAACAAAGTTGATTGTGGGGTCTTTGCAATGAGACATATGGAGACCTATATGGGACAACCACTCTCAAAGTGGAAACCAGGTCTTCATAAAGAAAGTGCAATTCAACAAACACTACTTTAGAGAAGCTCAGGCAAAGGTATGCACACATAATGCTAACTTCTGAAATTAACATGTTGAAGGCTAAGGTGTTGGATCTTGCTGAAAAATATCAAAAAGTTGAACTCAAAGTGCGTACTGATCATGCATACAAGGCTATGCAAACAATTCAAAAAAGGTTAAAAGAATATTGATGATTGCTTGTGATGAAGTATGATGATATAGAACAGTTTGTGTTGAAGATGAATGGATTTGAAGTACATGTAAGATGATTCTGCGAAACAAGTTTTAGATGGTTTGTTAAATGTTATTGAACATCATTTTAGTATTTTGTGAAATGCTTATGAACAGCTTTTATTATCTTATGTTGAATGATTATGTAATAGAAACAACTTTGCTTATTTCTGTCAGTTTTTTATATTTAAATATTTACAAAGTTTATTTATATTAGGAGTAAATATGAATATCTTTATGATTAAATTTATGATAAAGGAGTAATATGTCAGTATAACAAAGTTCATATATGAATATAACAAATTTCAGATATAAATATAACTAACTTATTAGTAGAAACAAGTTTGCTTATTTCTGTCATTTTTTTATATTCAAATATTTTCAAAGTTTATTTCTATTTATTCATAAATGAATACGAATATGATATATTCATTTATGAATAAGTTCAAAGTAATATGTTAGTATAACAAAGTTCAGATATTAGCATAAAAAAGTTCAGATATGAATATAACTTATTTATTAGTATAACAAATTTCACATATTTGTATTCATTTATGAATAATTTACCATATTAATATAACTTATTTTATAGTAATTTAAAAAACCAATATCAACATATCAATTTACCATATGAATATAAATGTGTATTATTCATACATGAATATTATTGTTTATTGTTTTTATCTGCATATATTCATAAATGAATAAAACCAAAAAACATAAAAAAAAACTAAAAAAATCCCTAACTGTCTTTGCTGATTTAGCAGCTCCAACTCTTTCTGGACAAGTACGTAAATTGTGTGGAACTCGTTTTCCACATCCTGAACACATTCTATGTTCTTTTTTAGAATTTTCATATGCTACTTCACCTGCACTTGGAATTCTTTTCTTGATTCCAGAACCTTTATTGCTTTGAACTTCAGGAACATGAATATTAATCTCTTCTGGAATAGGAATAGTAACACCCAAAAGGTTGCATACGACTTCACCATCTGTCTTTCTTTTCAATCCAGGAAATATAATCACTCTCAAATTCCTTAAACAACATTTTTTGTTTCTCAGCAAATAAAGCCAATCTCCTTTTGTCATCTCTTACAATATCCAAACATGATTCAAAACTATAATATGTATCATTGACTAGCTTTACATTCTCACAATCACCTGAATCGGATTGAAGAGAACTAAAACGATAATTTCTTGATATCACATCCTTTCTCCATCTTTTCAAAATGTAACCTTTCAGGAATTTCTTTAACACCACATCTCATCATTATTGTAAAAGCATGTCTGCATAAAACACCCATACGCTTAAAATGTTCACAACTGCAATTTATTTCTTCTCTTCAGCTTTTATTTCAACCTGACAAAAACAAAATTTACACATTTACATTCATATAAGAATACTCATAATCACCTCATATATTCATATATTCATAGATGAATACCCATATTCATAGATGATATTCCATATTCATTATGAATATTCTCATATTCTATATGAATATATTACATTTTTCATAAAAAAACTAGTAAAATTACCTTAAATTCATTTTTAAATTCGCTTTTACTGTTGTTGTGCTGCACAATGTAAACTTCCCAACCATCTTCAATACCAACATATGAGTATGTACAAAAAAAACATGCTTTATATATTTCCTTTTTGCACCAAAAAATAATGTACTTGTATAAACCTTTGATGCTTGTAGTTCTATTTCTCGAGGTGTTTGCATTTTTATGATGCTTTCTTTGATGCCTTATCAAGCTCACGTTGAGTATTCTTTGCTTTTGAATGGCAGTGTCGTAATTCATCATGAAATTCAAAAGTAAGTTCCCACTTTCTGAGTATGTATTAAAGAATGAATTCATACTCTCTGACCTCGACGTAGTCTTCATCAAACCACACATTGGAATATCACTAAATATCCAGGTATCCATGAATCACGTATTGTAAAACATGTCGTTAAACATCTTGTGTCTTCAAGATTGAATTCCTTCATAAGCAAACCCCACTTCACCTCAAAAACATCAGGTTTCATATTAATGTCCAAAACAAGCTTCGAAAACCTTTTTCTAAAGTCTGTGTTCGTAAATAAATCATCTGATATCTGTATTAAAACAAAAATATTCATAATGAATAAATATATAAGTAAAATAACAATCAATATTCATAAATGAATATACTAATAAAAAAAAGTAATATATTTTTGAAATATATTAAAATAATACCTTTTTTCCACTTTTTCATTATATGCCACATACATATCGGTGCTTTGAATTAGGAAACACATTCTCAACAGCTTGTTTTAATTTGGCAGCATCTTGATCGGTTAAAACAAGTGTTGGTTCTTTCCCATGATGTTAAGAAATGCTTTAAGCAACCAAGAGTAAGACTCAATGCTTCATTTCTTAGCAACCCGATCCAACAGTAACCATTTTTTATGATGGTCATAGCAGTAAAGGAACAAAAACATTCGATACCTAACACACAAAAATGTTCATTAAAGTCATTTTTTGATGTATTCATAAGTGATTAGAAAAAATATTATATATGAATAAGCTATAAAAAAAGTAGATAGAATAACTTACTTGTTTGTTCGGAAAGTCGCATCAAACGAGATAACA